GTATGTATTTATAATAAAGCTTAAAGTTTTTAGTCATTTTGAGGTCTATAATAATTGTATATGCTCTGGATCTTCAATTGATTTGATCCAGTAGCCTATGGGCCTCGTCGCAAGGGAGATATTTCTCGTCCGCGCTTGCATTATATGCAAGGTCGCGATATTTGTTACCATAGTAAGATTCCTATTTGACATACTCCAGCTTATATTTAGCTTGCTTCCAGACCATGATGCAGATGCCTTTAGGCCACCCAAGTTACTTGCCTCCCATTTTTCTGTAGACAACATTTTCGGGAAGCTTTTTGATGGGCTTTCAAAATGGGACTCTATTTACTTTATATTTGTAGCAAAATACGGTTACCTTTACGAAAATACGATAGCATTTTTCCCTTTTTTTCCTTGGATTACTAGCTGTGTTTCTCGTCCGACCCATGCATTGTTAAGTAACTTCATCTCCATAGATGTTATTATCCAGGCTTCTGGATTTTTTATTAACTTTGTTGCGTCTATTCTTACGTGTATTCAACTTTATAGACTAGGCATTCACACGTTAGGAAATGAAAGGCTTAGTATGGTTTCTGTCATTTTATTTATATTAAATCCTGCCTGTATCTTCTTTTCATCACTATACTCAGAGTCGCTTTACTTATTATTTACTGTTTCTGGGTTACTCAGTATTGAACGTAAGAATGTTGCGATGTCAACTCTCTACTTTGCTGTAGCATGTGCCACTAGGAGCAATGGATTATTAAATTGTGGGTTTTTGATGTACCGCCCATTTCTTGCTTGTTCTAGACTTATTCTGAACTTACCATATTTTATATTTGAGGATTCCCATAAATCGCCTGTAGAGGCTATACAGCAATGCATCTTTTGGTGGTGCAATTTTTTAGGCAATGTGATTCCTTGCCTGTTGTCCTGTATGATTTGTATTACTCCTTTTGTCTTATACCAGATATATTGTTACTTGCTATATTGCAGTTTTTATTTGGATCGAAATGGGTTTTCTTGGCTTCTGCCTAGCTTCCCAGACGAGTCGCTAACTCAATTTGCAGAAGATAAGCATATGTTTCTACCTCGTTTTATCTCGGTTGATCGTAACGATCATAATAACAGTCCGGCATCTCCTAAATGGTGCTCAGAAACTCTGCCAGTTCCTTATATGTATGTTCAGAAAAGCATCTGGGATGTGGGCCCATTTAGATACTTTACTTTGAAACAAATACCTAATTTTGTTCTTGCTTGTCCAGTTATTTTACTTGGCATATCAGCAGCAGTGGCCTTCTATAAAAGAGCACCAAAAGCATACCGAACTCTTGGTGTCATTTCGGAATCTCCTAGCGACAGGCGTCTGGTGCCACACGTCTTTCATTTGCTCTTCCTTTGTGTATATGGCTTCACGCATATTCATGTCCAGGTAGGCAACGCCGTTCGCTTCTAGCATTTTCTTCTTCAAACTGACCTATTTCTGCAATTTTTCAGGTGCTTACTAGGATGATTTTTTCATCATGTCCTCTTATTTACTGGTATGGGGCGCGTCTCCTTGATCAAGAGCCTAAAGTGACTCTTTGGGATAATCAAATTTCTACGTCCTTTGGATCTGCCTTTCGACAGCATCGATACTTACACTCTACCGTTAATTGCACCAGAAAGCGCATCGAACAACTGGGATATTGCTATAAATCAGATTCCACATCGAGGGACATGGGTAAATCTTCTCCATCTGGTGTATTGTGCATACCTGACCTCCCTTACGTAACAATTTTCTCGCCTGGTTGGGTCTCTTACACAATAGGATGGGTACTATGCCTCCTTAACCCTAAAAACTACCGATATTGTCGCCACCGTGCTCTTATTTCTTACTTTCTGCTTTATGCTCTGATCGGATGTGCCTTACACTCAAATTTTTTACCATGGACTTAGTTGTATGATTCTCTCCTTGATCTAACTTTTCTCTTTGGTATGAGTCAAAACCGTTAACTCTTCTTGTGTTTTCTTTATTTTGGGATACCTGGGAAATCTGGATTGAGAAGACAGAATGAGTCCCTAGTATGTGCCATTCTATCCCAGGACTGGGTTAAGCATGTTGTGTCAGGATAAATTCCTTACCTTTTCGGCACCTTGCTCACGGGGGGATCCAAGCACCACAACTTCAGCTGCCTCATCTTCAAGTCACAAGGCGTTATCTTCAATGCATGAGTCAAGTCCAGTATTCATCCTGATCAGGCGTGGTTGCCAAAAATTACTAGCAGAAATCCAAGCCAGCCAAGGCCAACGATCACACCATTTTTCTCTCGATTTCGATCTTTGGAAGAATCTGCCGACTACTGACCGGTGCACGAGTGTTAAGGCCGTTTATCATTTGGTTTGCAGCAGTAATGGAAGTTAATCGGCTTGGAACACGGCAATTTTTTTGCCGCCGGATGCGCTTCTATTCGTTCACTAGTCTTTACAGAACATCTCCCATACCTAAAAGTACAAAGTAATTACGACTATCAGTCTGGCCTTCTACATCGCAGAAGCAGGTGCGCTCGTTCCTCTAGTTTGTAAGCTACAGAATGCCCTCAAAATAATAAGTATAGTCTACTTCCGCATTATTCTTTACTTGTTCTTGCGTTTATGGGCAAGGCTTCGTTTAAGATTGTTTCACTGCTTGTTATTATTATCGTTAGTCATATATGATTGCTTTGAATAATTCCCTTCAACTCAGAAGCCATTGTCGAGGCGATCTGGAGCCACCATTTAGAAAACCATCCTCCAGTCCATTCATAACAAGTTGGGGACACTGACCACCACGATACAATAGAGCATAAGTGCGAGATGCGAATCCTGCCACCTGATGCATAGCTTTACTGCAAAGCATTAACTATTCTATAGAGGTTGTTTGACCTTGTTTTCGCAACATTGTAATATTGATAGGAAGACTTAGAGGAACGCACCCAGTCCGGGGTCCATTGTCTGCATGATTACTTCCAAAGTTGGACCATGGACGTGGTACATTCCGAAACGCTTCGCCGGCATCGTCAGTAAGTATCGCCGTACCTAGCACCACACAACTCGTCAGAGACAAGTGAAGCCGATCCTTTGACCAAGCTTGTGCTAAACAATTGTGTTATCTCCCCTTCTGCCCTGGGTTATTTGCGTTTCCGGTATCATCCTATCATGCCTTTACTATTAAAATTTTTACCGTGTTTATTTATATAGTGTGGTGTACTCCTTTGAGCGACATGACACCTTCACACTCCAACTGTCGTTCTCGCCCCCCCTTCATCCTTGTGAAGGAGGGAATGTTGATCAGAGTTTGCTTTATTATTATGCAGTCCTCTTCCCTAGTCTTATCTCAGTCTCTCTCTTGCTCCGTAAAATTCGTCTGCTCTATTCCTTGTTCACCTATTCCACTCGCCCTCACCTGCGTATGGGTGACTAATTCGAGGCTCAAGCCTCTGAGTGTCATCATCACCCCCTTTCTACATGGACCACGTCTCTGGTACAACCGACCTACCGTCAGCCAACTAGCTCCGGTCCCCGCCGTGTCTATCCTGTTTCTATCTCTAATACCTAGTCTATGACTTCCTATGCCCTAGTCTTTTGTTTGCCAACCCACAAATGTTGTGGTACTGCTTGCTTTGG